GGTGAGTAAATTTCAGGAAGTGGGTAGGCTAGGTCAAAATATATGTGCATTTGTAACTTTTATAGCTATTTTTCACTTGTTCTCCAGACAATGTGCACTGAATAATACTCACACTGTAACATGTGAGTTACTCTTTATCCCCATTAATGCCAAGAGAGTTTATAATCAAACTTTTCAATTTTTGCCAATCTAAGAAGTGAACTGGGGTATCTGTCTAGTTTTAATTTGTATTTTTCTCACATTACTTTTTAACTTTTAAAAGTAATTTTTCTTTTCTTTATGATCTATTCACATCTTTTGGTCATTTTATTGAGTATTATTATTTTAATTAATTAATTTTGTTTCTTTGTTTTTTATTGTTTAAAGTATTACAAATAGTAGTATTATTGATCTTTAGATATTTTCATACTGAGATATTAACTTTAGATATTAACCTCTTGTGAAATAAGTTGAAAATATTTTTTTTTAAAGTGGATTTTTGCTTAGTAAAATTCTTCTCATGATTCATTAGATTATTGAGGTGATCCTATGTCTTTCTTTTTAGCTTTGTTAATTCAATCAATTACATATTAATTGATTTGTTAACACAGGCCACAATGTTTTAATTCTGAAAATTTGATATTGTAATTTTTACAGAAATGTTCAGTTTCATTGTTCTTATTTTTTAGGGATCTTAGTATGATATATATTTCCATATGATGTTAGAATCAGCTGGTCTAGCATCAAATTTTAAAAAATGTACTTTTTTGTTGGGAATCGTTAAATTTATACATCAATTTGAGGGGAATTGGCATTTTTCTTGATTTTGAATGTCATTCAAGTATTTTTGTTATTCAGATTCAGGAGTGTTTAAAATGTTTTTCATGTAGATCTGGAACATTTCTTGGTAATATATTTGGAGCAGTTTTAAATTTCAGAAGTTTATTTCTAATATTTTCTACCAGGCTACTAATTAATCTTTTTGCTTATATCAGATGTTAAATTATATAATGTGAAAGTAGTGGTGATTTACTACTCTTTTTCAATTTTTATAACTGCAAAATCCAATATTATTGAAACCACCTTTGGTGTTTCTCCATTAAATCCAAATTTGATTTTTAGGACATAAATATTTCATTTCAGTAAGTGTTTGCCTATAATTATTTTGTTAAGATTTTCTTTTAATTCAGAATACTTGCAGACTGTTGAAAATGTCTTTGCAGGTAATCCTAGAGAGATAATTCTATGATTTTTTTTAGCTTTATTACTATAATTAATTGTATATTTATAAATTTGCTAATATAGAGCCATTTTTGTATTCAGTAAATAAAATATACTCTTCTCACCTCATTAATAGTTAATATACTGTTAGAATCTCTTTTTATGCTTTTTTATTAATATTCTTAAGTCATATTGGCTTGTTGTTTATCTATGTAATTCCAACCTAGTAAGACACTAATATATTGGTTTTGAAAATATGGAAATATCTCCCTCCTGTAGCCCCTCTACTTGTTTATTTGTTTTTATGCTTTGAAAAAGTTTACATAGCATTGGAATTATCTACTCTGAAAAGAGTTGATAGACTTTCCCTATCAGTTCATATTTTTTCATAAATTTTAGGTGTTTTAGATGTTTCTTCATTTCTTCTATTAAAGACTCTTAGTTGAAATTTCTTTATCTTTTGGAATTAATTTGGATAAATATCTCCTTAGAACATCATCCATTTTATCTAGATTTCATAATTGATTGCAGCAATCTAGCCTTCATAATGTTCTTACTTTTCCCTTTATTGTGATTATCTTTCCCCATAATATTTCATTTTTATAGATATATTGTCTTATATTTTCTCAATTAATTAGTATCCCTTCCCTTCACAAACATTTTTACTTATGTATTGATATAACTATTATTTTGTTTTCTGATAATTAATTTTAGCTCTTACCTTAATTTTACACTACTGTTTTGTTTCAATTTATTTTTATGTTCTTTATAACTTCTTTAGTCTTATTATTGATTAGTTTAACTAAATTTTTTTAATCTTAAATCTGAAGTTATTACCTATTCTCTATGCCCTATTGTAGTATATATTTTTCTACAGTATTATCTTTTAAAACTTTTACTAATTTGGTTTGATTCTAAAAGTACCTTGGGACAAATTTTATTTTAATGGTGATTGAGCCTTTTTGTTTTCTGAATTTGTTATTAATTACTAGTTTTATTGCATTGTAATAAATATATATGATATTTAACAATTTCTCTGCTTTGGAAATGTTAAGTTTTTTGTATTTAGTTTTAATTAATATTTTGAGCACTTCTAAAAAAACTATCTTTATTTCAGAGCAAAGCATTAAACATTTGTCAATTTGATTTACCTTCTTAATTGATATTATTTTCAACTTGATCTTTCATAAACTCAGGTTAATAAAGTGCTTCTAAACAGAATATTTCTATCACTCTTGTAGCTTTTGTAATGTCTAATTTATGAATGTTGCTTCTCTGTTATGTATTGTCTAGAAATTTATAACTGTTTTATCTTTATTTTGAATTTGTTTAATTAGCATTACAAAATGTCCTTATTTAAATAATTTCATTATTTTGGGGGTCTGAATTCCTTCTTATGTGATATAAATATTGCTTCCACATTTGATTTGCTTTTGCATTTTCCATTTATACTTTTGCTCAGCTTTTTGTTTTGTTTTGTTTTATATTTCTTTTTCATTTGATATTTTCCATCATCATTTATTCGCTCTATGCCCTCTTCCACATCAATCCACCCTCCACCCCCTACCCCAACCCACTTTTATCATTTTTCTTTCTGAATCACTTATTTTAACAGTCTCTGATTTCTGGTACAATATGAGAGCTTTCTTTTTAATACATTAATTAAACTCATTGTCATTTGCAGTGACAGCTGTCTGGTCTTAATTTAATGATATACTTTATGCTTCTAGAACTTTTTAATGTTTTTCAATATGAGGTTTGTTTTGCTATTTTTATTCATTATTTTTTGTTATTGATCTTCACCCAAGAATATATTTCTCATTGATCTTGAGAGAGAGTGGAAATGTGAGAGAGAGGAGAGAAAAGGAAGGAGGATAAAGAGAGAGAGGAAGAGGAGAGAGAGAAAGAGTTGGTTGCCTCTTGCATCTTGGCTGACTTAGTTCACTCTTAGGCAGATTTTCAAGAACAGTTTATGAAAAAAAAAATAGCTGAACTCTTGTTTGATCAACACCAATACTTTATACAGTTTGCCTTATCGAAACCTAATATTTGTACTTTAGGTTTTATTTCTCTTTCTTTGAGTATCCTACAGGTATTTCTACATTATTCTCTCTCAATAAATGGTTGCATTAGTTAAATTTGAAGCCACGCTGATATTTTTTCATTTATTCTAGGTTTACTATTTTTATTTGCAAACACAGTTCTGTTTGTTTGTTTATTCATCCTTAAAATCCATTAACTTTAATAAACTATAAATAAAATTAACCACTCTAGGTTAATTCTCCCAAGTCTTTCAGACAATTTAGTCTTTATTTCAATATGTAGATTTAAATCTGTTTTGATTTCATCAAAATTGTTTTGAATTATAACTTTTTAAAGAGGATCCTTTTAAAACATGACTCCAGGTTTTATTTCATCTTTTAAATATGTTTTTATTGATTTCAGAGAGAGAAAGGGAGATGGAGAGAGGAATAGAAACATCAATGAGAGAGAATCATTGATTGGCTGCCTCCTGCATGCCTCCTACTGGGGATCGAGCATGCTCATAGTCACTGAGCTGCTCATAGGCACTGAGCTGCTACCTCCTGGTTCATGGTTAGTGGATCAAACACTGAGCCACACCTGGCCTGGAGAATTATACCATTTTTTAAAGTTTTTCTGTTTGTTTGCTTTTCTTCTTTGGAAGTTCACTCTGGTGATGATAGAACTGTTTTGTCTATTATATTCATTACTAGAGGCCCAATGCACTACATTTGTGCACTGGGGGAGTGGTGTCCCTCAGCCCTGCTTATGCCCTCTCACAATCCGGGACCCCTCAGGAAATGTCCTTGTGCCCAGCTTAGGGATGTCAGCCTGCCAGCAAATCAGAGTTCAGTTGATTTACATATTAGGGTTTTATTATATAGGATTTTCTCCCTAAACTGTTTTAAATCTTTTTTTATTTTTATTTTTTCTCACAGCTATCCTCTGCCCCTTGATGTATTCTAGGTTCTTAACATCCTTGCATTCCTTCCAAATTCTTCTTTTTTTTTTTTCTTATTTCTCTCTGATTTCTGCAAGCTCATTTTTTAACCTCTTATTGTCAAACTATAATCAGTCCTATTTCTGCATTTCAACTTGGCAATTTTCCATTTTATGGAATATTATTTTATTAAGTTTCTACTGTTTTACTTATTCACTATTTTATAGCCCTTTTAAAGTTAAAAATTTATGTAGACACAACCTACTACCAGGAATATTTTATTGCTCTTCCTCAAATTTTATATTTTTTAAACTATTTTGTATTTTTCCATCTATTACACATTCATATAATTTTCCTATATATTTCCTATAACAAAAATTAACATTTTAATTAAAATATGAAAGTAACCAATTTCTTTAGAAAATTATTGATACACTTTCAACTATTATATATTTTTTATACCATTTCTATTTAGATGTTTTATTGTAAAATATATTGTTTTAATATTTTTCTCTTTTGAACTTTTATATTTGTTTTAAAATTTTAGAAGCTAAACATTTTTGTTCTTTTAATTTTATTTTAAATATGAAAAAGGGAATTAAATATAGCTCTTTACAAAAAATATAACTGGTAATATGAAGTTAATTTAATTCTTAATCTTGATATGGTTATAAATATGAATGGCTTTAAGATGTCATGTGGAATTTATCTGTTCAAGTATTTGATAACTTGTATCATAAATTGTTTCAATATGCAGGCCCTAGATTTCTATATTAATTGTGTTGTGTGTGGTTTATTTTGTAAACCAAAGTATCTGATGTTGTTATTTATATTTTAGGTTAGTGGGATGGTTTGGTCATGAACTCAGCACCAGATTTAAAATGGATAACAGTAAGTGTACTCCATTTTACTTTATAAGTCATTTTATTTTAACTGTATTTTAGTTTTCATCAGTCTTTGTATGACATGTATTATACATGCCTCCTGGAGAGTGCACTTTGAAAATGCCACTGAGAATTTTTAAAATAAGAAGTGACATTTCCAGAGTGTAAGACTAAGTGTTTATAGATTTCAGCATGATGTCGAGTCTATCCCTTTGTAGGGAGATAAGAGGAGGTGAAATTTAGCATAAAGGATCCGATCTCATCAACATGGAGTGCCCGACACATCAGGCAGTGAGGACAAGAGGAGTTTTTGTCTTGGAGTGAGACCCTGTGAGACCTTGGTGTCAATCCTACTTTGTTGCTTAGTAACTTTGTGATGCTGCACGAGTTATGTCATCTTGGAATTTTTCTCTCTCACATACTTAATGTGAATAATATCTATTTCAGGAGTTGGTTTGAGGGTAAAGACACATTTAAACCAAATAGCAAACAGCAGTGTTATTTCATTTTTATCCTCTCTTCTTCCAACTTGTCCTCCTTTTGTAGTCTTGCCACTTACTGAGCAGTAGCAGTTAAACCCCAGTAGGCAGAAATGAGAGGACACCAGGCACAGGGGTGTCCTGCCCTGTTTCTTTCCCTTAATGACTCTATTCTTCCATCTCATGAAACACAGAAAGCTTTTCGAATGCTGTGAGAGTTCCACTTAAACAAACTTGAGCATTTAGGTGACGTCCAACCCTAAGATAGTATTTTAAGCAAATTCACATTTACAAAAAACAGGATCAGGAAAACTGTATTTTATCTTGACTGCTGAAATAATGAGCTCGGTTATCAGTCCAGTTACTTAAAATTTTGTGCTAGATTTCTTATCTGTAAATGAGGGAGGTGAATTAGATCAGGCAGCAGAGTCTTTCTGGGAAGGATAAAACTGAAGTTATCTTAAACTTTTTGGTTTATACTGTCACTGTGGCAAAAACTCAGTTCTACCATTGTAATGCTAAAGTAGTCATCGACATACAAATATGAATGATACGGCTGTGTTCCAATAAAACTTTATTTATAAAGACAAGTGGTGAGCCACAGGTGGCTCACAGGACATAGTTTATCTAACCCCGGATTAGATGAATCTGGAGATACCCAGTATATTCTAAAGTTTATTCAGTCAGTCTTAGTTTTAATTTGGTCTCTAGCTAGCAATTTTCACTCTATTGGATTTAACTTTACATCTAATTAATTCTAATTAGGATAATATCTTATATTAATTCACCTTTTAAACATATAATACTTAGGCAGATTATTTTTTTTTTTAACTTCCCCTTTTCCCCTAAGAAGAGCCACTTGACCTGGTGCTAAAAGTCACTTTCATAGGCCATTTCATTTAATACGTCTGCCTTGGGGCAGCATTATGATTACAAATCATTCACATCCTGATGTCTTCCTCTCATTGACTCGGTTTCGTAATGAAAGGACACAGCATGAAGCAGAACAAGGAGTACAGTCTTGGGAATGGCAGAGGACAGGGTCCAGAAAAGCTTTTATAAGAAACTATTTTTATCTTGTGCCTAAGAGCTCTGGTGCTTGGTAATTTCCTAAGAAGGTGTGGGCAGGGGAGATAGACATTATAGGTAAAGGGAAAATGTGCCAGTTTTTTAGGTCCACGGATTTTCTCTAAAAATATCTCAGAAATCTTAGGCATATAAATATTTAATTCTTTTTCTCTCTACTACTCTGTCATTGAAAAAAAAAATCCATAAAGGATAATTTTTAAAGATACATTGTATTAAAATGACATAATATGAATTTTTCAGAATTGCAGTTAATCCCTGGAGCCAATGGATTTAGAATTTCAAATCCTCCCATATTGTTGGTCTGTTCTTTACAGGCTAGTTTGGAGGTAAGTGATCTGTGTGCCAATCTCCCCACTTCTTTTCCTTTACCTGATTGTGACATGTAGTACTTTCTCTGCTAATCAACAAGATCATAACGTGCTCTGTGCACAAACATTGTGCAAAGGGTAGTGTCCACCTTTAGGATGTGTCTGTATGTGAATTATCACCTTTTGTGTGTGTCTCCGGCCCCTAGCAGGATGATTGGCACATTTTGGCACTTAGTAGATGTTAAATATAACACACCTGGAGAGAAGTACTTTTAGTTCCACTTCCAATTCATGTGAATTTGAGTGAGTTACTTAACCTTCTATTGCAATATTTAAGTCTCAATTAATTAAATCATTCAACATTTATTTAATAAGAGAATGCTGTGTGCCAGACAATGCTGTGATTACAGAGGACTCTGTCTTTCTAGTTTTGTGAATCAATGAACTGACAAAGTTTTAGGAAGACTAGGAAAGAGTATGTATATAATAGATATTGTCCAGGACTCCATCGCAGTAACGACTCAACAGCAGGATGCGTGAGCCAACCAGGCCAGCAGAGGGGCGCAGTGAGGGACCACCAAACAACTGTACAGCAGGCTGTGTGGAGTAACCAGACTGGCGGGGGGCAGAGGGCAGCTAAGGGCGATCAGGCAGGCTGGCAGGTGAGCAGTTAGGAGCCAGTGGTCCCAGATTGTGAGAGGGATTTCTGATGGCCGGATTAGGCCCCATCCTGAGGATTGGTCCTAAACTGGTGGTTGAATATCCCCTGAGGGGTCACAGATTGGAGAGGGTGCAGGCTGGGCTGAGGGAACCCCATCCCCCCACGTTAATTTCATGCACCGGCCTCTAGTGTGTGTATATATATATGTGTGTGTGTGTGTGTGTGTGTGTGTGTGTGTGTGTGTGTGTATAATGAGTCAGAGTAAAACAAAGAGTTAGGGTAAATTTTGTTAAAATGGGATTTATGCCATTATAGTAATGTATATAATCTCTATTCTTACTGGCTAAATATTTTTTCTTTAAATTCATTCATATTTTTACTTAAAATAAAGTTAGTTTTACCCTAAATAATAATATCCAAGGAATCAGTTTGTTTTCCTAGATCTGCAAATCTATCTATCTTCCTATTTCAATATATCTAGATAATTTTATGTATTTCTACCTATCTATATATTTCAACTAATTATTCAAATATTAATTAATTTCAGAATGAGATTAAATTTATTCAAGTAAATATAGTTTTAATAATTTATAATGCACAATATCAGTATAAATAGATATATTATGTAAATATATATATTCATACACACATTTAAGTAAAATATATTTTAAGTATACATATACTTTTTTATAATTTATTGATTTTTTACAGAGAGGAAGAGAGAGGGATAGAGAGAAACATTGATGAGAGAAAATCAGCTACATATACATTTTTAATAGAGATTTTAAACAAATAGCTATTCAAATAAAATTTTATTTTCAAAAATTTTAAATCATCCAAAGATAAAATAGTTTGTGATATTTTAGGAAATCGTGTTGTGGATTGACTGGAAATACTTCCAAACTCTCTTCTAAACCTAAAATTCTAGGAATCTGTGAACAATTATCGCAGTTTCTCATTTTGCCCACTGGGAGGCAGTGTCAAGTTCCTCTATTTTTATGCAACTTCTCTAGGAAATCCTGGTAATCAGTTAATTTCATTTCATCCTCATTTAAAGAGCAGGTTCTCAGTTTGACCACTAGATGGAACTTGAGCTGTTCTCACTTTTCAGCTTTTTTTTTTTTTTTTTTTTTTTAAGGTTGAAATGAACTCAGTAAACAAGATTTTTGTTAGTGATACATTTTGGAGAGAATCAGTTTAGCAGATTAGATAATGAAACTTCAATTGTTTTCATAGAAGTCATTCAGAGAAAAACTTCTGTTAAACATTTCAAAACAAAATGTTTTTGCTTACTTGCCAGTTTATATCAGGGAGAAGATGAATTATACTGCTTAAAAAAGCTACCAAGGCATACCTTAAAAAACAACTAGTATTTAAAGTTATTTCCTCTTATTTTTCTTGTTTTTCTCAGCCATATCTAGACATTTTCTTTAGACTTTCCACTGGTGTTTTCTCTGCGGTGGATGGGCTATTGCAGTATTCACCCCTCTGCCAGGGCAAGAGTCTGATTCTGAACTTTCCCTACCAGTACTTTCCTACCATAGTGTACTATAGTCCCCAGACAAGCTTCTATTATCATCTGGAATCAGAAGACTGATTTATCTCTTTCTTTACTATCTAAGTTTAAACCCAGCAAAGGGACCTAAGAGCCACCAGAAGAGGGATATACACTTCTCTGGAGCTTCTTACCTCCTGAGTACTTCTGGGGAGCCTCTTAGAAGTCATTCACTGCTCAGGCAATGGCCTGAAGGAAATTATATGTAGGTAATCAAACCTTAGGTTGATGAAAGTATTCTTTTAAAACTCTTTCTCCACATTATAAATTGCAAAATTCTGAAATTGCAAACGAATACATTTCATTGTTTCCCATTCTCTATATCTAATGTTACAATGTTTCCCTTTCTGAGTTTGCCATGTAAGTAAGCACCAGTAAGTTAACCATGTCAGAACTTAACTTATTTGTTTAGAAGTAACGGCATATGGAAGATAGGTAACTGAAGTTTGAATAAATGAAATAAATAAATACCTGAATCAAACTACCTTTGTTTGTTTTGTCTACTTGCCTTTTCGAAAAATATTCCACAAAGTCAAATGCCAACTGCAGGAAAGAGTATATATTTAAGAAGCAAAGCACATGAGCATGATCTCAGGGTTACAATAAGAATTTTAAGCAAAGGATTGAAATGATTGTTTATAATTATGTACGTTTAACTATACTATTAAAATAGCACCTTAGAGTCAGTTTCAAACTGTCATTTTCTTTATATTGTTGCTTCTTAATCATTTAAACAACCAGAGGCCTGGTCACAAAAATTGTGCACAAGGAAGAAGTGTTCCGCAGCCCAGCCTGAACCCTCTCACAGTCCAGGAACCCTTGGGGGATGTATAATTGCCAGTTTAGGCCCAATCTCCCAATCCGGGACCACTGGATCCTAACTATTCACCTTCCTACATGCCTGATCACCCCTAACCACTTGCCTGCCTGCTTCATAACCCCTAACTACTCTCCTGCCTGCATGATCACCCCTAACTGCATCTGCCTCAGCCCCTGCCACTGCAGCTTCATCCAGAAGGACATCTGGAATGACATCTGGAAGGTCATTCAGCTATCCTGTCTAATTAACATATTACACTTTTATTATTATAGATACTTTAAAAATATTGTGGGTTAAGACAAAGAGCACTAGAATAGGAACTAATTGGCAAATATTGTACCCTTTGTGGGGACACGAAATGTGGCTTACATAAGTGACAACTACTCATTGTTAATTGATTTACCTCAATTTCTAAGTAAAAATGTTGCAAACAGAGCAGTTCTGAGGTCTCCTCAATTTTCAATTGACATAATATTGAACTGATATAATATTCATATGGTAATCTGAAAGGTCATATTTGTATGTAGCAATATATAAAAATTTTAGACCCTTTTGGTACATAAATTAAAAATGAAATAAATAGCTTCACAATAAAAATTAGAGCACTCAAATAAACTACATGGCAAGTCAGAAGTTTACTTTATATTTCCTTTGTAAAAAGTTATCAGAGATTTTTTAAGAATTTAAGAGGAAAAACATGACAATTTAAAACATCATGCTTATGCTTATTTTCCTATTTAAACTTATCTAACTTTGCATTCATTTTACTGAGGGGGGGGGAAAAAAAGCCCAAGTAGATGAAATTTGCCAAGAATTCTATTTTAAGCTGAATATCTTCAAATTACACTTTTCATTTTTTTCTATTAAAAATATTCTTCCTCTGTACTGAAAGCACAGAAATGATCAGAAGCCAAGAAGGGAAGAGGATATTTTATTCCTTTTCCTTGTTAACTCCTCCTATTAGCCACTCTTAATATTTTGATGTGAGAGTTCAGCAGAGACATTTACACTCTGTGACCAAACAATAAATGACTGGTTGTTATCATATTGACCACCAGGGGCAGATGTTCAATGCAGGAACTGCCCCCTCAGGGTGAGTGCGCTCCCATAGCCGACCTCCTATGGATGGCCAACCTCCCACAGTTCTCCCCCTGGTCAGCCAGCTTGATTGGCCCTGATCAGCACTGGGCAAGATAGTCACTGGCCAGCCCAAGGAACCCCACCCAGGCATGAATTAATGCACCAGGCCACTAGTTTATATATATATATATATATATATATATATATATATATATGAATATGATATAAATTAGGCATAGTGAGAGATTAATGGCAACAATTAATCATAAAATGGAACAAATTATAACAATGTTTACTGTAATAAAAGTTATGCAAATGTGGTCTCTCTCAAAATAATTCATTGTACTGTACTCACCCTTCTTTATAATTTTTTCCTTTTTCATAATTTCACAGATAGAAGACTTATTCTTACCATAGGTCTTAGGAACCTCCTCAAAGGTTTTCTTTCTTTCTTTCTTTCTTTCTTTCTTTCTTTCTTTCTTTCTTTCTTTCTTTCTTTCTTTCTTTCTTTCTTCCTTCCTTCCTTCCTTCCTTCCTTCCTTCCTTCCTTCCTTCCTTCCTTCCTTCCTTCCTTCCTTTCTTCCTTCCTTCCTTCCTTCCTTTCTTTCTTTCTTTCTTTCTTTCTTTCTTTCTTTCTTTCTTTCTTTCTTTCTTTCTTTCTTTCTTTCTTTCTAGTAGAGAACTTGCACCTTTTCACTTAAAGGACAAACTTTACAGCTTCTTATTGTCATGTCCAAACTGCCAGCGTCACTACACTTGCACTTTGGGGCCATTATGCAGTAAGACTTGCTTGAGTAGAAGCACTGCCATGCCATGTCAGGTGATCTGATAACCACGTTGGTGACTAAGTGGGAGGGCACACAGTGTGGAGACACGGGACAAAGAGACATTCACAACCTGGGAGACATGGAGCAGAAATGCAACAGGTTTTCATCAGGCTACTCAGAGTGGTGCACAATTTAAAACTTATGAATCATTTATTCTGGAACTTTTCATTTAATTTTTGGACTTGGATTGAGGGGGGAGCAACTGAAACCATGGGCAACTGAAACTGCAGGAAGCAAAGCCATGAATAAGGGGAGATGACTGGAGATGACTATCTTCTTTGTACTGGGACCTCAGATGCCTTCTGAAACAAAGATGTCAGCTTCCCCTTGCAGCTGATCTCCTCCCAGGCTGCAGACATGGTCTGTGAGGACTGGGAGGCCAGGGAGACAGCATTGTATGCTGCTTGAGAGATGAGTGGTTTGGGCTAGACAAATGGGAAAGTGGATAGTCAGAAGTGGTCTTATTCTAGATACAGTTTAAAGGTAGAGCTGCCAGGTTTTGCAGATGGATTTGTGGGAGTTGTTTGGAAAATAAAGCAGTCAAGGATGATACCAAAGTGATTGACCTGCAAAACTGGTGAGGAGGGAATTGCCCAAAACTGAGGTGGCGAAGGCTACAGGAGAAGGTGACTGGGAGGAATATTGGGAATCCCAATGTTGAATATGTTTAGATAGAAATGCCTATTATACATGCATCCCATTAGAATGTCGAGTAACAGTCAGATACATTGTTCTGGATGAGAGAGCTGTGAACGTTAAGTCCAGATTGGTATGAATTGTGGTTTTGTCAAGTCATTGTCTGTAAAATAAAGAAAAGTTTGAAAGAAAAACAAAATACAACTCCCTTCTTCTTTAACCAAATCTATACCCTCCATGCAACGAAGGGGAAGAAAATGTATGCCTAAAGTGTTTACTCCCGTTATAATGCGGGCCCACACATATATACAGAAATCAGTGTTTTCATAGACTCTATGAAGTCTACATACCATTGAATGACCCTGCCTTGGCTCTGTGGCATGACATGATACAGTGAAGGGACAGAAAGTGGCAGGCCAGTGCATCATACACCGTTTGAAGTTCATTCAGCTCTTAGAGGGAGGATGTATCTTTAAACTCTACTTGACCTTAAGAGATAAGCTAGAAAAGCATGTCTCTTCTGACCTCTAATGTTCCAACACCAGTTACTGTGTGCCTTTGTCACTCATCTTAATATAAGACACCTCAGGCAGGAAATTGCAGTGTTTTCAGAACATACGAGAGTGTAATAGGGAAAAAAGTGATGAAAGAAGAAAAAAAGCAGGGAGGAGGAGGGGTGGAGGGGGAAGGAGAAGGGGAAATAAAAGCCGAGGGCTTTAGTACTAACAAGTGTATTGTGTAACATTTTTGCTTCTCTGTCTCATAAAACTTGCTTGTTTTCTCACTGCTAAACTGGAGGAGATTCAGGACTTGGTCAAACAACTGTAAATCATATTTTCAACATGACCTTCCACATAGGCATGCCCATTCACCTCTTACTGTATCGTTTTGTGGACCAAGCAAACTTATATCAGAAGAGAAAACATCTTCTTGATTATGAAGGTTTTGGAGAAAGCATTCGAATTTTATATTTCAATTCCTTTATAAAGGGATACTTAGAGTAATTTATTCTAAGCCAATTTAAATTATTCTGAAGGAACATTACATCACCTTTTTTTTTCTTTTCTTTTGCAAGTATTGTTTAAATGGCATTTTTGCCATTTTTCTGATATAGAAACTTTGCATTCAGTTCTTGATGGCAAAGGATTTAACAGAGGACACATTTTTACAAAACGACTACTTAACATGGGATGGTTTCTGGAGAGGTTAAAAGTGGCGATTTTTGCTTCTTTGTAAAAAAACCAAAATGTTGTTAATCTGTTTCTCCTTCTACAGATCTTTAAGAAAGCAACCATGAAAGCATTGAGAAGGAAGTCTGTTTTGCTCACGGGTTACCTGGAATTCCTGCTCAAGCACTACTATGGCAAAGACAAAGCAGAAACCAAGACACCCGTGGTGAACATCATCACTCCCTCCCGTGTAGAGGAACGCGGCTGCCAGCTAACACTAACATTTTCCGTTCCAATAAAGTCTGTATATCAAGAATTAGAAAAAAGAGGAGTGGTTGTAAGTATATCTCTTGCTTTGCTACCCACTTTTCTCTGGAGGTTGCATGTTAGAGGGAAAATTTGGATTCTTTAGTTTATTCACTGGTGCATGTAATTTCACATCCATCAGTCAGTTACTGAGGATAAATTAAGTGCCAACTAAGTCAGTATTCGGGATTTGCTAATGAAAGGGCACAGAGATCTGTCATTTCCGATAAAAAAAAAGAAACCACAAATTTTGGATAAAAAGAACCATTTTATGTAATTTATTCACTTTTATTACAGTTTGAGCAGCAAGTATTGTTTCATCTGAGGAGTGTTAACATTATATGAAATAATTTTTTTTAACCATTGGGCCAAAGTTGCCTTCTGAGTCTCTTGAAAGGAACTAACAGGTGATAAGAGAATAATTTCAGGGAAAAGTGGTGATAATGCAATCTAGGGACTGCTCCACTCATGTGGCCCTCCAAACCTTTAGGAGAAGTCACCACCGCAGACGCTGGAGGCACCAATCAGAATATCAGCCCTGCAAATCCTATGCCCAAGACAGGTGCTCTTGGGAAAGTTAACATGTGTTAGCCTGAGACTTCTCATCTGTTTTGGGGTGTGGATGTATACTTACTTGGAAAAGTTAGTATGGGAATGAAATGGACCAACACACATGAACCATTTACTATGCTGTCTAGCCTGTAGTGAGCATTTCTTAATATAGTTCTAGTGATCTTCAGGCTAGGCCAAATTGTCTGGGCCATTTCATACCATTTCAGCATTCCCAGTGTAAACCCAAACTAATTTTAGACTGTAATAAATAATAAAAAGGATTTATTTGAGCAAAAGGAGATATAGCCTGGGAACACAGGTTTAAAACAGCAACCTAAATTGTATCCAACGATCCTGGACAAAGGGGAAGCCGCATTTTACAGTGAAAGTTCTCACCCAGGTTTCCAATTATGTCCATTTTATGTAAGTGAGGTATCCGATTGTGCAGTTGTGATTGGTCAGTATAGTTAAAATAAGGATACAAATTGAACCATCCTGATTGGATGGGGCAGGTCTCAGTCTGTTAGTAGAAAGATGAAACCATGGTTTCCCCACCAGATGGCATAAACAAGCTAAGAGTTCAATCTGAGGTTTTCACAGAGGATGTAAGGAGACCATCAACTAATGACTCTAGACTCTACTTCATAAAATTGGGGCCCATGGTTGAACATGGCGCAGATAAATACTTTCTCTGGGTCCATATCAAATGAATCTTTCTTCTCAAGGTGCACATCAGGAATATAGCCAAGTCCTTACCTGCAAGATTTGGGCTTAGAGAAATAAATGTAAGGATAATTTGACTAGAACTCTCTAGGACAGTGTGAGGTTCTCATTCATTTAAATGCATCCAAGATTCCAGGCTCTCCAGGGTCTCCCACAGAGCAATCATACATATGCTCTGTTGAATGCTTAAAGTAGATGACCTAAATGGATTTCAGAAAAGTGCTTTTGGATATTCATGTAACAACCCACTAATAGTTTAATTATAATTAAGAAGAGAGTTTTACATACCATAGAAACACTATATTTTCATTAAAGTGAAAAATTGCTTATATAGTAAGTTTTAGGGAAATCAGTATGACTATTTCATGTAAGTTCATCTTGAATGCAGATTTTCATTATGAGAATAATGCTGACACCATTGTGGCTTTATTTCAACCCCACAGTGTGACAAGAGGGAACCCAATGGCATCCGAGTGGCTCCAGTTCCTCTCTACAATTCTTTTCACGATGTTTATAAATTTATCAACCTGCTCAATTCTGCACTTGAGGCTGCAGAAAGAAAAGATAATGGTGTTTAGAACAAAGTAAGCCAATAATGCTGAAAGCTGCTGTGATTATTTTATTTTCATTCAAGTTTTAATCTTTGGAAATGTTAAAAATAAAAATAAAAATAAAAACAAAAACAACTAATCACACCTAAGTGACAATGAATTGCATATTTTCCAAAAAAATCTGGTATAATTCTTTTAAGAGTTAACGTTCTTGAGGAATCTAAATGTCTGTCCAATTTCTTGGTGTTTTGTGAATCAAGGTTTTCATTGATCTAAATATTATGTACAGAATCTTGGTTAGCTGTTACAGTTCAGGGTCAGTGAAATATTGTTACTGTTTAATTTCTTATTGACTGACAATGTCATAATATGTATTACATTTTTGTTTCAATTTTCTAAATATCGTTTTTGCTTAAATTTCCCAAAGACTTTCTTATAAGCACTATAGTTGAATCATCTGATATATGTATGATTTTGGAATATTCTATCCAGCTCCGATCTAAAGAACAGAAAATGAAACATTTTCTAGAGCAGTGGCCTTGAAATATTTTTGGCCACAATCCACACTAAGAAATATATCTAAAAACAGAGACCTATATTTATTTGTGGATAGGCTTTATTTTAATACACAGTTTTTAACAATATTTTAATGTCTGTGAAAGAAAAGTCTATCAATTTTCAATCAACTGCTTCTTACAATTGCCACAATTACAATCTCAAGATGAATAGATAGCACCTTATGTTGAGTTACAAGTGGTATAAATAGTAAAAACCAAAGGTTCATAAATTATTTACCTGTGCTCTGATATTTATTTTTTTATAATATTTTTTTTGTTCATTCTTTTTTTTTTTAAATATATTTTATTGATTTTTACAGAGAGGAAGAGAGAGGGATAGAGAGTCAGAAACATCAATGAGAGAGAATCATCGATCAGCTGCCTCCTGCACAGACCCCACTGGGGATGTGCCCGCAACCTAGGTACATGCCCTTGCCCGAATTGAACCCGGGACGCTCTATCCACCAAGCCAAACCAGTCCCGGCATGCTCTGATATTTATTATTCTATCTTATTACAACAAATGTTGGTTGAAACTTGTTAAATAGATTTTTCCACCCATTCTTGGGCCCTTGTTGATACCATAATCATTATTCATGGATTTGACAAACTTCTACATTTATATATATTCTCCTCAAGAAAGAGTGACTACTATGACATAATTATTTCCATATTGAAACAAATTTTAATGAAATTAATGTGGACAACCATTTGGATGTTAGAGTTTAATAAAAAGATGCAGAATTCCAACAACACTAGCAAGTGCTGATGTTTATCAAGAATGTACTATGTATTGTGCTTCTCTCTTTATGTTATCTTAGTTGAGTGGTTGCAGAATTGTTTTAGGAAAGCTTCCTACTCCAGCTTTTGGCAAAATTTATATTCACAGATGAGGAAGTTCTCAAAACCTTAACCTCAATCATGTACAACCTCATGTGGAAGAAACTCTTCCAACCTCACTGTGGTAAACAAAGCAGACATGGTTTCAGCTGTCAGGGAACATATTTCAGCTTAGAGGGAAAAACAGACAGTAATCATAAACACCCAGGTAAATAGATAATTACAAACTATGACCTCTATAAAAGACAAACAGATGACACTTTGAAAGAAAAATCTCATGGGTATTAATTAGGCGGTTGAGTAAGGGAAGGTGTATGAAAATACTTATAAACTTAAGTTCTAAAATATTTCGTGCTAATCATGTTAAAATTATATCAAATTATATGTACAAATCATTTAAAGTATGATCAGCACCATGTCCTTATTAAGAATCAGAGCATTAAAAATTTCCTTTCTCCCAGCTTGCATTTGCGCCCTTCCCTAATCCAGTAATAATAATTATTTTTAAATATATTTTATTGATTTCAGAAAAGAAGGGATAGAGAGATAGAAACATCAATGAGAGAGAATCATTGATAGGCTGTCTCCTGCTCACCCCACACTGCAGATAGAGCCAACAACCTGGAAATCAAACAGTGATCTCCTGGTTCAAAGGTCAATGCTCAACCTCTGAGCCATGCAGGCTATGCCAGAAATAATTATTGAATTATGTTGTATATTAATCATTTCATTACTTTCTTTAAAGTTTTATACTTATATATGCACTCATCTATTCTAATAATAGAGGGATATGCAAATTGTCCAGGACGCTGTCATGTAAGGATCAGTCAGCAGGTTGTGCACACAGTAGATATGGGTGGGGGGGACTTGTAGCAGCGGGTTCAGGGGGGCGGGGTGACGGGCCTGGCAGAGCATGACTTGTACTCCCCACATGGTGGCGGTGGCAGCTATGAGAGCTCCGGATGGCTGCTGCCACTTGCCCAGGGCAGGTTCTGGGAAAGCGGCAGTGGGGACAGGGGTGGGGAGGTGGGTCCGGAGGAGGGCGGCCGGCCTGTACTCTCCACATGGCAACAGCGCCAAGCTGAGCCTGCAGGCCAAGCTGAAGCAGCACCTGCGGGCCATCGGCACTAAGGAGTGGCTGCACTAGTCCCGCCTCCTGGCCCAAAAGGTAGGTGATCACAGGGACAGCCACTGTGGTGGGCCAGATTGACATCCTCCTGGCTGGACCGCAAGAGTTTGCAGATCTGCACAGGCACAGGCCTCCAGTGCACACATCCTCTCCCCCCACCTTGTGTGTGAACATCTCCCAGCGTGCTGACACCCATGCGCACCCACAACAGTCCTAGACCACGGTGTGCACATGTTTCCCCCACCCCTCTGCCGCACTTCCCTCATGCCTACACAGCATGCCTAAGTCCCCACACAATGTGTGCTCATCCCCTCCGTTCTTTGGAGCCTATCTGAGTGCTCAGGGTGGCCACCTGTGAGATGACAGTGAGAGGGCGGAGTGGTGACACCCTGTTCACGTAGAAGCCTGTGTGGCGACAAGATTACCTCCGTGGCCTAATGCAGGTGCTGAAGTGGGAGCAGGTGCGGACAGACAGACACACCTGGTGGGCTCGAGGCAGCCCTTGCTGAGGTGCCTCATTAGAGATCAGGAACCTAGAGGAGGCAAGGAGGTCCATCCTCTCAGTGAAACGGCAGGAGAGTCAGGGCGACTGCTGAGGAGGAATGTGCACTCGGGGTGCTGGTGCCCATGAGCAAAGGCCGCCCTGACTGAGCCTTGCTCGCTCCGTGCTTAGTGCACTCCTGCCAGGCAGTGGTGACATGATGTGCTTTTCCGAGTTAATGAGAGAAAACATTGATTCTCCTGAAGCCCTCGAAGATGGAGAGCGGAGTGAGGAGACATGTGGAGAGTGAGCGAGGTTCCCTGTCTGGGGGTTCTAAACCCCCATTGGTTTCTATCACTGCTGACTAGAGATATACAGGGTGTCCCCCAAAATGTATACACACTTTGAATCCCTACTAATCCCAATGGGTATAACTATGAAAAGAAAGGAACAACAATGGAGCTGTTGTTAAAAGTGCAGGCACACACCAGCAATAGACATTCCCTGAGGGGTCCCGGATTGAGAGAAGGTGCAGGCCGGGCTGAGGGCCCACACTTCATGAATTTTGTGCACCGTGCCCCTAGTAAAAATATATAGTTTTGCTCATGTGTAGGCTTTGTATAAAGGTAATGTATTACCTTTGTATAAAGGTAATATACAAATGAGTATAAAAATACATATTTTTATACTCATTTGTTGCATATCCTGTTTTCATCCATTTTCATTGTTGTTCAATACTCTCTTATATAATTGGAGTTACTACTTCATTCTACAGCAACCAATGAATGTTTGAGTTGTTTGAGATTTTTAATATTGCAACAATGCACCTGTGAACATTCTTAGTACATGCATTCAAATGTTTGTCTACGTTATATGACTGTGAAAATGCTGGGACATAGGGCACACATGTGCTCAACTTCAGTATGTGCTATTGCACTGTTTTCCAAAATGCGTGCAACAGTTTCACTCCAAACAGTAGAGATGAGTATTCCTTTGCTCCTGATCATTGCCAACAGTGACTGTTGATTGTCTATGCCATGTAAGCATGTTAACATAACCAAGGTGATTGTTAAAATGATAGAGAATAAATTTATAGCTTCCATACAAGTAGAAGGGAAAAAGAGAAAGAGGATACACACATATATAGGCACACATGAGCGCAAGCACACACACACACACACACACACACACACACACACATACACAACACACACTGCAATTTAATGCTTTATAAATTATCCTTAATCTGTGGATTAAGCCACAACTGGAATTTCACCTGGATTTTATACTTGCTTAGCTCTTTCCCCTTCCATATTCTCATTAATTCCCTCCTTCATATTATTCAATAAAACATGCTTAACTAGGATGTTGCAGTTTGATTCTCCATCTATCCGGGCACATGCCTGGATTGCAAGCTCAATCCCCAATAGGTGGCATGCAGGAGGAAACTGATCAATAATTGTCATCATTGATGTTTCTTTCTCTCTCTCTTCCTTTCTTTCTCTGAAATCAATAAAACCTTTTAAAAAAAATAAAGACATATTTATTTATCTAAATCTGCATCTGAAGCTTTACTTCCTAAGGAACCTAATATAAGACAGCATTTTATTTATTAAGTCTTAATAATCATAACTACTTTGTCTATTTATATTCTATATCTAATATATTATTAATCTACAGTTCTACTTATGTTGGTTTTCACATACAATATTTTAATTATTTTTAAGCTATATTTTTATTGACTTCAGAGAGAGGGAGAGAGAGAGAGATAGAAACATCAATGATCAGAGAGAATTATTGATCAGCTGCCTTCTGCACATCCCCTATCAAGGATCAAGCCTGCAACCTGGGCATGTACCCTGACTGGGAATTGAGCCATGACCTTCTGGTTCATAAGTCGATGCTTAGCCACTAAGCCATACTTGAGGGACATAGATTGCTGATCTTAGTTCTATTTGCAATGATAATTTCCCTCTAGCATATTCACGTGTTCAGGAGATTAGAACAAGGACCTCTTTGGA